AACGCTTAGCAACCGTCTTGTTTCGTTTTGTTTTGAAGAGTGAATAATGATTATCATCGGTTGTTAAATTTCAAACAAGCACTAACATGAGCGAGAAAAATTAGCAAAACTATCGTGATCCTTAGTCGACTACTACTTATAGTATATAAAATATGAACACGGTGAATACCATATGTTTTGAAAGGGCCATGTAAGGGCCGTGTCGTGTTACAAAATAGTTATTTTCTTATGTTGAATGCGACGCCGTGCCGTGAATTAAAACAAAAGTGCAATAGCCGGGCATGCCTAGCAAAACTATCAAATTAGCAAACCATCCAGATCATAAATCACTTTTCTCTGATATTTAACGTCTAATTTATTTATATCAATCGGTTGGTCATGTTTAATACCAGTATACAATCATGAAAGAATGTTTGCTGTCTGTGGAGTAGTCAGACGCCAGATCGACCGCAACTTATATAAATTATGATTTGAAATCTTGCATGCATTGTAATAAGAATATGCACAACCGAGATATACCATGCCTTTGGGGGAACTTAATCAGAACTCCTTGCCTTGTAAGAACGTTTTAACTACATAAAGATATAGACAATTGCACAAAACATTCGCTCATAATAATTCAACTGACATTAACTAAAATTACGCCGTTTCTTTGAACTATGATTTCGCGTACTTACAATTCATGGATTGATGAGTTCCATTCAAATAATTCACTGGTTAGCTGCGATGTATTCTAATGCGATGTATTCGATGTATTCAGCTCATGTTATACAAGTCCTTATCAACAGTAGAAATAAAAATATCTATAAAATATATATTCAGTGATGACGCGTAACGTCAATTAAACAGTACAGACGGGCAAGTTTCATTGCCAAGTTTTCCTTGCCAAGTTTTCCTTGCCAAGTTTTCCTTGCCGAAGTTTTATTTGCTCGTGTGTACGCGAAAAAATTGAAAAGTTTTCTTTGACAAGTTTTATTTGCTCGTGTGTACGCAAAAAAATTGACAAGTTTTACTTGACAAGGAACCTTGTTCAAAAGCTGGTCTCGACTCATGCCAGATTTTAAACAAGGAAAAATGCCCGTGTGTACGGAATTGAATAGGAATTGCCGAACGTATTTTAGGGAACTGCCCAACAATATCTTCGAGCCAATCGAGCGGAATTTTGTTTGTTTTGAGATTCAATTTCTGTTTGTTTTAAGATTCGATCGTATACTTATTTTATCATGGCCATATTATCCTAAAATATACTCATATCATCGTAAAACTTGTCAAGAAAAATGTGTCAAATTTTTCGCGTACACACAAACAAATAAAATTGGCAAGGCAAAAAAACACGTTCGTCATACACACCAGCGCAAGTGAACTGGTCAAGGAAACTTGTGAAAGAAAACTTGCCTGTCTGTACGGGGCTTAACTCACAAAAGTCGTAATTCCTGTCGCAGCATGACACACGTGTACGAGATCGCAAACTTAGCTACGTTTGATTGGCTTCCACATCATTAACTGAAACATTTCAAATAGAAACTCTTTACCTTATGTGAAGGTTTAGCAACCTGCAACCGTCTTTTTTTCGCTTTGTCCTTGAAACATTGCATATATAATTATCATCGGTTGCGATATTTCAAAGAACTATAATAACATGCAAAGTATATAAAAAAATTTCTAAGTTTCTTTTCGTTCATGAAGTACAGTAAATCACTATGTAAAATGTGGACACCCTGAATACCATATGTTTTAAAAAGGCCGTGGAAGGAAAACGAATTAACATATTGTTGTGTTCCAGTATTTTAACTTTTTATATTGAATGCATGATGACGCGATAAGATTATAATTATGATTTTCATTAAGATATGCTTTTTCACAATAAAGTGATTCGGTTTCAAAAAAATTACAAAATCATGTAACAACAAACAATTAACAATTTATATCTATCTTTATTTACCAAACAACTTTTTGATAACCAATACCATTGAATTTGAACATCTTGCTGTACAAATAATTCCAACGTACAGACAACAGAATGAAAAAATAAAATGAATTCCTGTCTTTGAAAAAGATCATAAGTACAAAGTCCAGGGGAGGGATAGTAGTGAAGAAAGTGTAAGGTAAAATCATACTTGAAAAACAACACCTATAGTGCACTTAAGAAATGAGCCTTAATTATATCGGGAAATATAATCATGAAAACAACCATTTTGATTATTTAAACAACAATATATTGTAAATATTCAAATCATATTATATGCATGGTTACATTTTTTACGGTGATGATATATCGGTCTACAATACGACTAAAAAATAGACAAAAAATCAACTTTTCATCGATTTCATGTCTGATTTAATTAGGACTAATTTAAATTATTATGATCAACTTAAATTGAATGTAATTTATTGGTCTTCTAAAGTCCCAATTTAATGCTAAGATATTATACTTGTGAAATGATATAAGATAATAACTACTTTTTATTATACTATATATATGTTTTATACTTTTGTATTCAATAAAAGTAATGTGGTAAAGAAGTATAAGACATGAAATGGAGGATAATGTAGAGCTCAGCAGCAATGTCAGGAATATAAACATCATGCAGTATTGCAGTAGCTGTGGTAATGAAAGTGTTGATATATTGATATATTGTTTCTTGGGTGTATCCAGTGAACTCAATACAACTGGAACGATAACTCCGCCGCCATCTTGAAGCCACACTGATGGCCGCCATTGCACGTCAGGGGTCGAAATTACTCCCCTTTTTCGTTGCATGTTTTCTCATACTCTAAACTAGCAATTGATATAGAATAAAGTCTAGAAAGCTTCAACCTTACCTGGACTTTTCTAAAAAAACACTTTCTAGGCAGGAAATTAATTTTAAGCTTTATTTTAGTGCTGTTGAAAGTTGAACTTTTTTTCGGCGCGTTTAAACTTTTGAAATATTTACGATATGGGACTGTTACCTCGAAAGTTTACCCCCTAAATGGACGTAAATCACTACCAACTATAAGTGACATAAATTTCAAGCTTGGAAATTGATGCTATCGGGCGGAAAATATCTTTTTATAGCCAATTCTTGCTCAAAAATACGCTTTTTCGCTCCTTTACACTCTCCCCACTTCTTTTAAAAGTGTTTTTCTCGCGCGCGGTTCTCAGATTAATAAGGGATTAGTATTCAAATCAGATTCATATCGGCTTCAGCAAATCACAGGATTTTAGAGACTTTATCACTCGAGTTATCGTTCCAGTTGTATTGAGTTCACTGGGTGTATCACGACGGTTTACTTTTAATTTAGTTTAACTGATCAACTTCTCACTTCGATAACTTTATTAGGAGTGCCGAATTTAGACCAAAATCATAGGGGATTGGAGCATGAATAAGATGTTTACCAAATGTACAGTGAGGTTTCAAAATAGTAAATTAATAAACTAATAAGTTTATGTATAATTGAACACTTCCATTACCACGTATCATTAATATAGGCTATGCTCAAATCTATATGTCTACTCAGATTATGACCAACATTCCTTATAACCATCTTGTGAACTGTACGAATCCTTTTTGATAGTTTTCATCGCTTCAGGGTGTGAAGTTCATGAGACAATATGCCAGATTTTCCGCGAGAAATACTGTTCGAATATAATCACGATGATCGAGTTGTAAATATACACGTTATAAACTCATATCCTTTTAATCCATTTATAGTATTGCTACTGCTTTTCTAAAAGACGTCATTTTCAATGCAAAAAGAGGAATGTTATAATCTTAGGCGAAAGAGATCAGTGTACACTTTTACTGCGGTCACTGTAAACCACATGGTAAATATTGGTAATTATACTGTTTGGCTTTCATCTTCCACCATATCTTTCTGCATTTTACAATCGGGCGTCTCTTTTCCTTTTTTTACGCACGTCTAGTTCATATTTTTAATTCATGTAATTTTGTCGTTCTTAATTTCCGTGTTTCCGTGTCCACATTATTTTGTATTCCGTTGAAACGGCACATCCGCAAAGTTTTTCACAGAAACTTGGCAACTTTCCATTCCTTTGCAACTCGTGATTATGTTACTCGTGATTTCCTTGCGAAGTTCTTTTGACTGATTTTTTAAAGTTTGAAATATCTTCAAAGCATACGAATGTTCTCGCGTGACGACTTAGACCATGACTGCTTGCTAATTTGGGACGTGGTGTTCTGTACAAGGCACGAAGATTCGAATCGATAATAATTATCATACTTGTTCTTTCTTATTCTTGTGATATGCCAATAAAATCCAGATATTGTTTTTCCACCCGGTTATAGAATGTTGGTTAAAGATCAATGTTTCTCACTTAAGATAGCTAAGTATTGTGCTTTGTCACAATTTATAGCGAGTAATAGCTACTTTTACTTATTTTAGATCCATGTTTAGAATTACACCCCAGGACCTTCCCGAGGTATGCAGAATTGGGTAATCGACACTGCTGAGAACAACGAAAAATTTGTTTACTCGAGAGGAATATTAACTTTTGGGATTTTAAAACGAGTAATCAAATTCTTCTTAATATGAAGCTGCGAAGAGCTAGCGTTGTTCACGAGCATTTTTTCATTATCCTCCAATGAAAGTGAAATAGTGCAAGTATGTAATATTACCTCATTCATTTTACCTCTTGAAAGAAATTGGTTCGGTGTTTGTGGTTGCGTGGCATTAGATAAAAATATTCCATCTTACTGACCGTGCAATGAATGTTTCCATTGCACCGTCAAGGCGTGCAAGTTTTTCTCAATGCACAGTTGCTTTTTCATAAAATTTAATCACAGTAATAATCGTATCGTATTTGCACACATTTGATCACGAATCCGAACATGGAATTACTCATAAACACAAACTGTTTAATCAATAACATTGGATCTTGTTGGTATTTTTTTTGGTGTTGTATATAAAAATCATTCTTCTCGATGAATGGAATAATCCATCTTTCACCTTTACCATTGCCCTCGTAAACATTCTTTATTAGTTATACCATTGTATGGTATTGAGCAGAAACTGAGGGAAAAATTTCACGCACGAAACAAGTACGTCTATCTTTGAATGTTGAAAAAGGCATTTTTGAAAAATGCATCGAATTGCATTTACATGATCCACATGGAGTAGCATGAAGCTTGGCAGCCTCTTCGAATTTCCAATTGATGAATTGGTTTATCAGCTATGACTTATGTGATGATGCAACAAGAAATGGTGCCTATGGTGCCTATGCACCTGCATTCAGGCAGGTTTACTAAACTAAATCTAAGTTGAATGTTGAATTATATACTTACACCAGAAACCAGAAAGATATTTGCGTGGTGATCCCCATGCCATAGAATTAATCGCTTAATTGTTCTCTAACACACACCAATCTCTGGAAAATAGCTGTTAATTGTGGTCAGAAGAAATTTCACATAAATTTAGTAGCTACTTCTGTTTGTACTAGGGCATATGGAGAGCCCTAGAAAGTTACTTTGTCTACATAATCTTCGAAATTTAATTTGTTTGAACTTTTAACGAAATTCAACGAAATTTTAATCAATTTTTAATCGGCCGATATGAAATTCGCTCACAAAATTTGGCATAAATACACTTAGTATTTATTTATTTACACTCAATACACACACAAAAAGATAAAACACAGATGTTTACATATCCTGCGGTTGAGGTAATTATATTATATGAACTATTTGGATACGTTAGCAATGCACATCTTGAATTTCACACAAATCTAAGTACATGATTACATGATTGAGTAAAATATGTAATTCAAAATTTTACAGCTAGTCTACTCTCCCATTCTGTATTAGCGAGGACTAAAGAATAAAAAACTTACAAATAATTATTTATATTGACCAGAACCTGTAAGATTAATAACCTTCCTAAACATGAACTACAGAATAGACAGCGATTACCTATACTATGGTTTATCTTGCAGGTTAAGATTTTCAAACGAACCAGTAAGCTCATCAGATGGTAATATAACAAAACCAGAAAACATTTTGTTAGATTTCTCTCTTATCGTTTCGATATCATGTTTTTGAAACATCACATCTTCTCCGTAGATTTTAAACGGAGCCCGGCTTACAAATGATCGGTACGCCTCTTTATCGTGCTTTTCAAAGAGTTCCTTTGTCTTCTCTAGCGCCTCCCTGACTGATGATTCATGCAGCAAGTGATTATAAAATGCTTTTATAAACTCAGTTGTTGCATCATCATCACTGTGCCTTAGTGTGGTAAGAACAGAGCGAGCTCCGGCTGCAAGAAAAGACAGAGCTAAAACTTCAACACCTTCTGGAGATATTTCGTCTTGCTGAGAATGACACAGGCATAAAACAACCAAGCCACCTTTCAGAGAAAAACCCTGAACATCCTGGTGCGTCAAAATGTCATTCTGCTCAGCAAGAGTCAAAGAACTTTGATTCGAGGAGACACGTGGAGAAAGCATTATTGCACATTGCTTAGGTTCAATATGTGCAGAAATATGGATAATACTAGCCCCGCTCAAAAGTCCCAGCAAAACCTGTTTCCTGGCTTCGCCCTCCACGAAGGCCTTTGCTTTGAAAAGCTTTGAAAAAGAATGAACTTCCTCTGTAGCTTTAGGCAAGTCTGACGTTGGATTGCCAACAAACAACGCAAAACCACATTCGGGCAGAATTTCAATGGATTTTTCTCTGATTGTTTTAATGTCGCCTTTTGTAAACATCACATCATGTCCAAAGAGAGTAAATGGAGCCCAAATTAAATAGGAGCGGTAATCTTCTCTCTCGTGTTGCTGAAAGAGGTTCATTACCCTTCTTAAAGCTTCACAAACTGGTGTTTCCTGAAGCAGTTCCCCGTACAATGCTTCCATAAACTCTTTTGTTGCATCATCACTAATGTCCCAGAGTTTGGCGAGAACAGAGCGAGCTCCAGCAGCAAGAAAAGACCGAGCTATACCTATCACACCTTCTGGAGAAATCTCACCTTTGCCTGTGTTAGAACAGCTTAGGACGACCAAGCGAGCTTGCAATGAAATACTTGTAATATCGTTCTGTGAGAGGAGATTTGAATCTGGATTAGGAAGAGAAGAAGATGGTTCATTTAAAGAAAGGTCGGGAGCAAGCATTATTTCCCCCCTCTTTGGTTCACTATGAGCAGCAATGTGAATTATACTTGCACCGCTTAAAAGTCCGAGAATAACCTGTTTTTTCGCTTCAACTTTTACGAAAGGCCTTGCTGTGAAGAGCTTTGAAAGACTTGCAACTTCCTCAGCTGCTTTAGGTAGATCAGTGGGTGTAAAATCTGTGCCATACAAAGAAACTTTCCCAACTTTTGGATTACCAACAAACAACGCAAAACCGAGGTCAGAATTATCGGGATGTTCTTTGGTTAACGTCAGAGTGTGTAATGAGGGCGTTACTTGAATGCTGTAACTTTGAGATAAATATCTCCCATTTTCATCAATCAGGGACGAAAATGGTACAAAAAACAGTGGCCCGTGAGGAACAACAATGAGCTTATTTCCTTTGACGGCATCTCTTATCGGTTGAATGAGAAAATCGAACAGTTTTCTTAAAATACTTTTATCGCTAGAATTATCGGCGCTGGAATGTTTTTCGTGCAAGCCTTCAAGCTTTTTTGCTTTACATGGCTTGGTTGGCGGTGAGATCATGTGACTTTCAAAACTACGTTCATTCGCAAGTGAATCAAGTTTAAAAAATGAAGAATCTCGATTAACATTGACACTTGTCATTGTGAAAAGCCCAATCAACAGGGGCAACAATATATCCACTGCTGCATCTGGCATCAAGCACTTGAAGGTGACATCACTACTCAAAACCCAAACTTTCAGAGACCCTTCATTGAAATCAAACGCAAATAACACTATTGAAATTTCATCATTTTTTACCTGAAGGATGTTCTGTATTCGCTCTATTTCTCGATTTTCTTCCCTTTTCTCAATTTTGCTCCATATTGATTGTGCGTAATGAGACAATTGTGCATCGAAATAATTTTGTTTTCTTTCAATAGAAAAATGGAGCTCTTTTGCCCTTCCCAGATCAGTCACTAATAATCCCGATTCTATGCGCCCCAGAGAAACTAAACAACTCATTAACTCTCCATGGGCTCTGCAGAAAAAAATTGTGAAGGAGAGTTTGTTCTCATCTGGAACCGTATTTTGGAACTGCTCTTCAAGAACTTTAATAAGTTTTACTAAATATGATGATGCAACTTCGTATTCTCCTAAACTCTTATAAACATTTGCAAGTTCTTCATAACTGCGTATCATCATAAACGGCTCACCGATATTAGTGCTTACTTCTAAACTTTTTGTACCATGTTCAATGGCTTTTTCATTATCACCCTTCAGTCTATATATGACGCCCATATCTCTGTTGGCTTCTGCTATCCCTGATTGCATTCCAGTCGTTTTGGCTAATTCTAAACTCTCTTTGTGATAATTCAAAGCGTTTTCATACATTCCTAGTTCACGGTAACAAGTTCCCAAGTTGCCATAGATCGTGATTATGGCAGTTTGATCGCCCTCTGCTATGAAAATTTCGGATGCTTTCTTATACTCGTCAATTGCATTTTTCCAATTTTTGGATTTAAAAGAAATATTACCTGAATAGAAATGGATTTTTGCAATTAATGTCTGATTACCCATAGCCTTGGCGATTTTAGAGCCTTCTTTTATATAGCTACTGGCCTTCTCATTCTCTCCTATTCTTTGGTAAATCAAAGACAAATCACAATTGGCTTCTACGATACCTGCTTGGTCACAGACCGTCTTTGCTATCTCTAAAGATTTTCTGTGCCATTCGATGGCTTTGCTGTATTCACCTAAAGAGCAGTGAACACGGCCCAATTCGTTACTGACATATTTAATTCCATTTTTGTCATCAATAGCATTATATATCTTTAAAGCGTGTTTTAAGTAAGCAAATGCCTTTTCATATTCACTGAATAAAGAATAGATGTGACCTAAACGGCTATTACTCTCAGCTATTCCTTTCTGGTGGCCAATGGCGGTGAAAATTCTTAATGCTTTTTCGAAACATTGAAGTGCTTCTTCATTTCTTTTTAGTTCAAAGTAACAAATGCCTAATTTCCATTTGACATTTGCTGTTTCGCCTGGATCGTCCATTACTTTTCCCAATTCTAATGTTTTCTTATAATAGTCAATTGCGCTTTCCCACTTTTCTATACAACCATAAAGATCACCAAGATTTCTATTCTGTTCTGCCATTGAGGACTGATCACTAATAGAAGTGCTAATTTCTAAGCTGACTTTCAAAAAGCTAATTGCCTTTTCATAGTCTTTCGTTCTTTGATAAAATCTGCCCAAACTCATATTAGCACCAGCTATCCCTTTCTGGTCGCCAATAGCGGTCATAAGTCTTAACGCTTCTTCGAGACGAAAAAGTGCCTCGTCGTTTCTTCCTAGCTGAAAGTAAGAGTAGCTTAAACTGCAATTTGTCTTTGCTATTATTTCTTGATTGTCAATTGCTGTTCCTAATTCTAATGTTTTTTTCCAATGGTTAATTGCGATTTCCCACTTTCCTAAAGAATAATAAGTATTAGCTAACTGGCGATTGCTTTCTGCCATTAAATACGTATCGCCAATGGTCGTGCTAATTTCTAAGCTTTCTTTCAAACAGCTAATAGCTTTTTCATAGTCTTTTAATCTTTTGTAAACATTTCCTAAATACATACTAGCAATAGCTATACCTTTCTGGTCGCGGATTGCCGTTGCTATCTGTAACGAGTTTCTGAAACAGTCGATAGCCTGGTCATAATGACCTAAATTCATGAAAGCGTTTCCCACATCGATACTGTTTTGCACCTCTAAAGCGCGATTTGAAAACCTCCCCAAACTCATCTTAGCATCAGCTATACCTTTCTTGTCGCCAATAACGGCCATAAGTCTTAACATTTGTTCGAAACATTTAACTGCCTCTTTATTTCTTTCTAGTTGACAATAACGACTTCCTAAACCACGATTAACCTCTGCTATTCGCTCTATGCTCAAATTGCAGTCGCATAAGTTTCTGTGGCTTACGGCAATTTTTCTGCGATCATCAGCAGCAGTACCTCCTTCCAAGCCTTTTTTTAAGTATTCAATAGCCCTTCTTTCTTCGCCTGAAACTTCATAACAAGCGTCAACAAGCGCGCGAATATTTGCAATCCTTGCTTTGTCCCCAATGGCAGTACTTGCATCTAGAGCTATTTTATAACTGTTAATGGCCTCTTTATATTGGCCTAATTCAAAATAAACACGGCCTAAACCTTCATTGCTGATTGCTACTGGAAACTTATCGTCACTAAGTGATAAACCCTTTTTGAAGCAGTCAATAGCATTTTGATATTCTTTCAATCCAATATAAGCCTCGCCTTTACTTGTGTGTAGAGCGGACTCGAAAATAGCAAGTTCTAAATCTTCAATTTTAGTTAAACTTTCAATGGCTGTTTCGTAACACTCAATTGCCTCTTTATACTTACCTGATTTCAAGTTGTTATCTCCTGAACGTGCGGTGCATGTAGCTATTTCGAGATGATTCGTCATTCTGATGGCTTCTAACTTCCCAATATTTAGCTCCTTGGGTTCCATCACAAGTTTTGATTTACTTGTCTAAAAATTAATGTAGAGTACAACGGTAACATTATTAAAAATGCATTTAAACAATTATATATATAATTATTAAAAGAACTTTTTTATAACCAGGGATTGAAACTATATGAAATTGGATAGAGATGAGATCAAATGCAAGGTTTAATCCTGTAATTTGATCTGCATTCGACAACAGCCTAGAGTTTGGTATCAAACTTCGCGTACAGGCATTTGTAAGTGAATTTATTAATTAGAATATAGAGTAAGGCAGAGTTGCGTGTCAAAAACAAGGGCTAATAATTCAATATAGTTTAATATAAACAAATATTTTACATTCTTGTAATTCGATTTCGAAAAGTGGCTTCATTCTTGCCTGCGTTAACGCTTCTGCAGTTATTTACTATTCCTATAGATGGTCTCTAGCGGCAGTACATGACTACATGTCTCCAAAGCTAAGTTAAAGGGAAATGGCAACATATTTTTTTTTAGATTGAATTATTAGATTACCTCTTAGTATGAAAGAAAATAGCGAAATCTCCATAACTGTGTCGTTCAATACTCATCGTCGCCATCTTGTTATGATTTTTTTTATGCTATGTAGTTATGCAAGTTCCCTACGGCGTGACGTCACAACAGGGCTTGCTTTTCGCGGCAAATTACGAATTCTGCTGTCTTTGTGTTGTTTTCGCGATGTATTGTCCAGTTTACGGCTGTAATAGCAGTAGTAAAAGAAATCCCGAGAAAAAAATACACTTTTTTTCGTTTCCTAAAATAATCAACGAAACCGAGAAAAAAAGAAACAAGATATGGGTCGATTTTTGCAAGCGAAAATGCTTCGTGCCATCTCAGTATTCGGGTTTGTGTTCGCTGCATTTCAGCGAAGATGCTTACGTTCCTTCGCATTCTCCTCAGTTTTTATCGACATTAAATTTTCAAGAAAGGCGAAAACTATTGCTCAAACCTGACGCAGTACCCACGAAAAATAAGCCGCTTGATATGGTTCGTAATGACTGCAGACAATCGAAGAGGAGACAAACAGGAGTTCTAGCACGGCGAAAAGTAAGTACAATAAAATGTTATGTGGTGGTGATAATATAATGGGTTATGATTTTTGAAGAACATTAACGTAAGGAAGACGCAGATTTAACACTCCACAGTTAAAACGTTACAAATTTATACAGGTTTTGAACATTCTTCTTTCGTAGGAAGGGTTCAAGAGTTGATTACAAAATCCAAATTACCGCCTAATGAAAACGAAATCGTCAACGACGACAACACGATCGGTACTGTTACTGAACAATCAGATGAATCAGAAACTTTAAATGCTGATTGTAGCAACATCAGGACTACAAGTTGCCAAACCATCGCAGTGGAATATTTTAGAAAGAGTGAAGCTACTCAGACAAAGAAGTCTATGTTATCAACAGCAACAAAAGGTACACAGACACTACTTACTGTTAATTCGTTGTCAAATCTACTAGTGCAATTTCCTAAAAAAGCTTCAACTGGTTCTCAAACTGAGCCACCTGACAATGGTATTGAAGAATGTAGTGTCACAATTAATGAGTGTCAAACAAGTCAACATGTTGATTCCTCGAAAACAAGTGAATCTTGCACAGCACACGCTGAGATCCCTGAACCACCACCAGAAGAACCGGGCGAATTCGATTGTGATGAAAGTTCGGACGAGACTTACTGTCCGGAATTTGACAACTTATCGGATGAAGAAAGTCGAATTGAAAAAGAATTCACGAAAGAAGAATCAGAACAAAATGAAAAACGTATTCTTTTGTCCAACGAGAAGCCTATTGAGAATCAGCTAAAGATAATTATTTGTGAAGAGTCGTTAACGCAAATCTTTGGGATTTGCCAAAAATGTGGAAGCAGCTGCTCAGTTTCAATAGGAAACATACTCGGAAGTTATTGCGTGATCTATATATCGTGTTCGTTAAACCAAAACCATGACTTTTCTTGGTCAACTGGTCCTTTAATAAATCGACTTCCTTCTCTAAACATACTGATAACGTCAACAATTTTAGCCACGGGGATGGAATCGAATAAAATGTTGAGGTTTATGGAATCTTTAAACATTCTCTGTATTAAAAGAAGGGAAATGTCACACCTTTAAAGTTCATACGCAATACCAGCAATATTTAACTTATGGAGATCAGAGCAGCAGATGTTGATTGATGGACTCAAGAACAAACAAGTCATTATAGCTTCTGACATGCGGGTGGACAGTCCTGGCCACAGTGGCCTTCTTGGTTCTGGAAGTACTCTTGACGTAGAGCAAAACGTTATTTTAGATACTCAAGTTATAAAGGTAATTGGGAGGTTTAGCTACAATGTATAATAGATACTCTAACTCTCCATAGTCCAAATCAACAAAAGCCATGGTGGCTATTTTAGTGTTCCCAACGAGAGTAATTAATTTTCTAAAATTGAAATACTGGCATGGTAGATGTGACGCCATCTGCAAACGCTCTATTGCATTTGTGGTTAAAACTGATATATTGATATATATTTTAGAGTACTGAAGTCAAAAACTCCAATGCGATGGAGTTAGAGTCCCTGAAAAGGCAACTTTCGTACCTTGAGAGTGCTGACATAAAAGTTAAAAAACTTGTGACAGACAGGCACGTGCAAGTATCAGCGTATATGGCAAATGAAAAGCCAGCTATAGAGCACAACTACGATGTGTGGCATGTTGCAAAGGGTAAGAAGCCTAATTGCCAAATAATTTGATCAGAGCTCAATACGAAAAAACATAATTTAACGATAAAAAAAAGGATTAACTTTTCCTAGTAAGAACTTATATTTATATATAACTTAGGTGTGAAGAAAAAGCTTTTGAAAGCCTCAAAGGCAAAGAAATTCAAGGCAATAAAGCCATGGATTGGGGTAGGCAACATGAGATCAGCATAAAATTTAGTAATAATCTCAATTAGGAAGGACTGTATGCTACTAAACATAAAGGTCACATGCAGACAGTCCTTGAAATTTGCGACAGCATGAAGCAATTGCCGTTGTGATAGTTTCACGACGGCACTTTATTCTTTAAGCTCGAAAGCTCTTGAAGGATGGCAATACTCACTTTAAACACATGACGGTCTATTTAGGAGCGTAAATAACATGGGCTACAACCGCTCAAACTATATAGAATAGGTATACAGAAAGAATTGGTTTGTGAAATAAACATTTGCCGCAGACCGGTACGACCATATTATTGTGTCCAAAGCAACACTATATAACAGCTGTGCCGGTGAGAAAGCGTTACATGATAATGCGTACATGAACTCGTACCCCAAAGATTGATTTTTAAAAACGTTCGACCTGTTGAAAAGCAAGCTTTTTTGCTGCCGTGGCGAATTTTGAATTTTCTGCAAAAATGTCTTCGTAATAAATAATAAATGTTTGATAGGCACACTTGATCCGGCAGGTTTTTAATTTACCCATATCTTGTTGTTTTGCAGTCAAGTTTTAGTGCGATAAGAATCATCATGTAACAAATATCGATCAAATATGAAAATTCAAAAACTTTTTCAGTCAATTTGTAACCATCTTTACTGGGTGGCAATTTCAACCACAAACGAAAATGAAAGAGAAGAAAAATAGAGAAGTCTTCTAAATCACATCACAGACGTGCATGTTCACGGGGAAAATAAGATCTTCCAGAGATGTACCCATGGAGAGTTGGATAGAGCATGGATTAAAACAGGTTACCTAGTTTTTCCAAACTTTATATAGTAATTTCTTGAAAGTCTATAATACATACTATTTACTATTCTATACAGGGTCAGCTGCACACAAGAAACTCGAGGAAATCCTTACACAATCACGACTAATTTCTGCTGTTCGGAAACTATCAAATCTTCACCAGACTTCATCCCTTGAGTCCAAGCATTCTATAGACAACCAGTTTGCCTCTAAAAATGTCTACTATCCATTCCATTCACTTATGGCGAGGTACGTATTTGCAATTTTAATGCAGGTAGAAAACTGTGACCAAAATGTGAGTGCATGTTACTTGTTTGCCTATTGAGAACTAAGTGAAATCAAAACCAATTTAGTTCTAATTATCCTATTATTATAGCTTTTGTAAGGTAATTAAAGGAACACAGGACAAGTTGGCAGAAATAGATCCAGAGCAGTTTGGTATGGGAGGGGGGTGCACACTAGATACCCAGATTAGCACCCCTCCTGCAGCCTGTTTGGCCTAGACTAGAGTTTGTACCCAATACCCGCACTACTCCCCACGCAAATCCATCACTGCCAGTTGGTATTCAAAGCATAGGAAATGTTAAGAAAGGATCGAACTTTTTAAATGTCTAAAGACCCTTTTCTTAGTTATGTCACAAATGTATGTTTAAAAGCCAAGAAACCCCCATTCTTATGTTTTAAGGTGATTGGCTGATAATTCATGAAACCATACTGTAGCCCCAAGGTATAACATATCAAAATATTTCAGGCTGTTTTTCTCTAACATGCATTTTAATGAGAACTCCAAGAAAAGCCAAGCCAAAACCAACAAAGGTTTAGATCGTTGGGCAATAACATACCCAAAAGCACACAAGGGGGAAAAGGCTATTGCTAAGAAGATAAAAGAAGCCCTAACTTTTAGTAAGTTGATTAACAAGATCGAATGACTATATAACTAGCCCATTATGTGCAGAGCTCTCCTAGTGACAAGTAATATTGTCTAGCATTTGTCAAGTAGGGCACACCGGGATGTTTTGCAGAGTAAGTGTAATTTCACAAACTACATGTATCATTATCACAAATTAAAAGTTACAAGTATGTTTTTAGTGCTTTGAAATCACAAAATGTTCATTCAAATAGGCATAGTCTACCTCATATATTACTTTTTTACTTAATCCAGGCAATATAACTAATATTAAACAATAAATGTCTTAACGAAGTTTAACCCTAACAAATCAAATATATTAAATTTTTCTAATTTTAGGTTATGTAAAGCACACTCAGTCTGAAAGCTTAAAGCTACGACATAAGTTCCCAACGATAAAAAAGGCACAGCTTAATGCTATCAATGTCCTACCTAAAGAACCACCCTCCCTTGTGGATCAATATCAAAAAGCAAACCCACCAGAAAGTAAAAGCTCAATCATTGCCAAGCGATTCAGTAGATTTAGCAAGCCGGCATATCCTGAGAGTGATAAAGATACATGTGAATGTTCAGGCAAATGTGCAACAAAAAGATGTGGATGCAAAGCAAGCAAGAGATTCTGCTCTTTGAGTTGTGGTTGTAGGAGGGACATATGCGTAAACAAATAGTCTCATTACTCTCATAATCACCTGGCTGACACAATGAAGAACAATTAACTCCTGGATTCTCCCAAATTTTCATCAGCGAATCATTTTGAGAACTTAAAATGCGTGTATAAACCATCTGGAGACGGAAACATTTTCCGGATGGATGTGTACACACACGAATTAAGGGAAAGCTCGCCGGATTTGTTTTCCTAATATACCAAAAATCCACCTTGAGCATCTTCTGTAGGATACAAGTCTGTATAATTTGTGTGTTCGTTCGAGTTCCTCGTCTCCCAATGGCCAGTTTTCCTCCATATACTGCGATACATCAACACACAGTACATCCTTTGACAACATATTTTGTTGAAAAGCTGACAAATCTGTTATGCACATAAGTTCTTGACTTTCTACTTTTTTTAATATATCGTCATATCGTCGTAATCTAAAGACTTTTCATGGCAACAAAAAGACTCGACTGTTTTTTCCATTTTAGTACACTTTCCGCATTTACACCAGGAAAGTGTTGTTTGACGCCAGGCATTCGCTGCATCAAATTCATCATCATACTCATCCTCTTCATTAGAAGAGTCATCTTCGCTGCTTTCTATTTCGTCAATTTTATTAGGTTCAAACATATAAGGTTCAATAATAGGTTCACACGGCACTAAATCGACGAATACATCTTCCTCACTTTCTATATGTTTAGTCGCCATCTTGAAATATTTGCCCTGTTGTGACGTCACGCGAGGTTCTTTAATCGCTTGAAAGTTCGATTAAAGATGGCGGCCTTATGCTGAAAATTAATGCTTTTAAATTCGGAATAACCCGAGCGTAATGCAAACTTGAGTTATTATTTAACGTTATATACCTTATTTAATATGTATTATTATATTTGGTAAAGAAAAAAAATATGTTGCCATTTCCCTTTAAAGCAGTTAATAGCCTGCTCATAATTATTATTGGCCTAATTCAAAATAAGCACGCGGCCTAAATTTTCGTTGCCATGTGCTACTTATATCTAATCGTCGCTAAGCAATACACTTTTTTTAAGCAACCAATAGCTTTTGTATATTTTCTCAACTCAATTTAGGTATGATATTTTCTGCAGTGAATTGCGAACTGCATAATTGTCAATTTCATTGCAACTTTTAACGCCTATTCCAAATACTCAATTGCCTTCTTATACCAACCGAACTCCGAATAGTCATCTTCCAGAAAAAATGCGCTAACCCTGGGTTGAACAGTGTTTTAAATCGGTGACTTCTATCGGTTCAGAAATTATTTATGAAAAAAAATATTCGACTTTGTAAACAAGCAATTATGTAAAGATTCGCTTCGGCTAGGGTTAAGCTAACCAGTCCCTTGAGGTAAATAACTTGGTTGATCTGTATTTTGCCAGGTTTTGAAGAAGAATTTTTGACTAATTTGGCGAATTTGACTATGTATGTGTTGTCAACACTAAATATATTCTTTAAATGTTAGCAAACTGAATATATGAATAAATACCCCCTTCAATTACATCTCTAGTCACACCCCTGCAAATATACGGGCGGAATTAAATCCTTCTCAACACGTCATTGTTCTCGGTGCATAGCGTCCATGCTTTATAGCCATGTTGCCCTTCATCTCTAGATATCTAGGTGAAGCTGTATTAGTTTTTTCTAACTTTTTTATACGGGCCATCTGAATTTTCATATCCCGGAATAGTTTGATAAAAAACTACTTTGTCCCCTCACCAACTTTTTTATATCCCTATTATAACATACCTATTTACTGTGTATGAGCTATATTACGCAATCTGTGGCTTAAGGCAATTCTTCTGCGATCATCAGCAGCTAAAACTCCATAACAAGCGTTAACGCTTGTGCAGTTATTTACTATTCCTAGATGGTCTCTAGCGGCAGTAAATGTCTCCAAAGCTAATTTAAAGCAGTTAATAGCCTCTTCATAATTATTATTGGCCTAATTCAAAATAAGCACGCGGCCTAAATTTTCGTTGCCATGTGCTACTTATATCTAATCGTCGCTAAGTAATACTTTTTTTAAGCAGCCAATAGCTTTTGTATATTTTCTCAACTCTCTTTTCTCAACAATAGTTGTCAATTTCATTGCAACTTTTAACGCCTATTTTAAATACTCAATTGCCTTCTTATACCAACCTAACTCCAAATAGTCATCTTCCAGAAAAAATACGCTAATCCTGGGTTAAACAGGGTTTTAACGGGCTGTTTACATGAGCCCAATTACCCGAGATTTAACGAAGCGTTAGATGATTTTGAGGTATTGAAATGAGCAGATAACATGATCCTGCCAGTCATATTATCACCACAACAATAGCATGTGCTTGTTTGGTGTCATAAAGACTTATTTCAATACCTCAAAGGCCTCTCATGCTTCGTTGAATTTCGGGTAACCGGGCTAATGTAAACAGCCCTTAAATCGGTGACTTCTATCGGTTAAGAAAATATTTATGAATAAAGTTATTCGACTTTGTAAACAAGCAATTAATGTAAAGATTCGCTTAGGCTAGGGTTAAGCTAACCGGTAACTAGAGATTAACTTGGTTGATTTATATTTTCCCAGGTTTTGAAGAGGAATTTTTGGGCTTGGCGAATTTGACTATATTTAGTGTTGACAACACATGACAGTTCAAATGTTAGCGAACAAAAATCGAGATGAAGCAATGAAATTTCTTGCGTGATTTTCTAGTTCATGCATATTAATATCAAATTCAACAGGTCGTCTTACTTCTTCAAGATTTTCTTCTTTAATTGCGATCCTCGTTTTAGCAGCATTCCTGGAAGAAAAATGTTACCGTAAACAAATAGTTATTAGCGAAAATATCTTAACACTATATAGCTATTGTGTATTCAATGTAAACTTGGCAGTATTGTGAGTGGTCCATGCATGAATAACGAATTCTCGTTAACATTTTTGTCCAGTATATATATAGCCCGTACGGGTTAGAAACACTTCAAATAGCTGAGGTGCGTTTTCAGATTCTTCCGTTTTCAGTGGGCGAAAACGTCGGATACGTGTGGACGATACGCGTAACCGTGGGAATACTCTTGCATTTTCAAATTCTTCCGGCATTGTGTAGACGGGGCCTTAAAGGCCCACACAAACTGAACGTGATTCGCTAACGCGACGCGAATTTTCTTTTTTCAGAAGCAAACATTTTCAGAACATTTTGAGAGACACAGGCTCCAGACAAATCAAAATGACTATCGTTCTATAATTACCAAGAATATCACTGCATTGGAAAACTTAGTAGCTTTTGAAAACTTTCGTAAAATTTCTTAAAAATCGCGTTGGCGGAACGCGTCCGATGTGGGTCGGCCTTAAAACGTCATCTATGGTTGTGATTACGTAATATCCACTATGTTCATAACTGTGCGAATGATTATAAAAACTTAAAGTTGCACCTGCTTTTCATGTTTTTCAGTTGACGAAGAAACTTTAATATAATCTCCATGTTTTGTTTTGCATAATGCATTTTTCGTAAAAACATAAAACGTTTTTACGAAAACTTTTGCGAAATTGCAGCTACATTGCTTTCATTGAAATACAATACTTCTATCTTGACGAACAGGACGTTGCTGATTCCATCATTACTTGCTGCGCATGCACATAACCAGTGGTATTGTTCTGTCACAATTCCCTGATGTAATAAACCTCTGAGCGAGTATGAAATATGGTCGTAAAGCACATTCATATACATACCTTTCTTTATTCACCTCCTCCATGTTTAGTATCTTAATCTCTATTTCCTCCATTTCAATTCCAATCAGCAAAAGTTCCCTCAGAAAACTTTCCTGAAGCCTTTTGGATTCAAAATCATCCAAAACCTCAAGAAACCGTTCATCTGTAAAGCAGTGCAATGAAACAAGAAGACTTCCTTTTTCGATGTTTGTTATTTCTTGGTCATGTTTCTCAGAACCCAAAGCTCTTTTCACTGCGTTCTCGAGAACACGTACTAAGCGAGGATCTTTTTTTAGTGCATCATGCAAATCGCCAATAGAAGCTTCTATGTCCAAATCTTTTGGCTCTTGTTCATGCTTTATTCTTCCGTTGACAAATATTACGAGAATAACTCCTTCCTTTGCTAAACAGCCTAGGGGGAAATTACGCGAAATTGACATGGTTTATAAATTCTGTGAGAATTGTGAATAAAACAAACTATCGAAGTTTCAGGAAATTTAATTGATTTGCCTTTTGAGAAAGAACTAACGTTGAGAAAGGACTAACTTAGATTTTGATATATTATAGTTGTATTTTTAATAGTAATTCATGGGGATATTACTTTTTGAAATGGTTACATTATTTCAAGATGTCTCTAAAATATGCAAAATACGCTCTACAAAAATATTGCTAATCAATCAAATTGGGGTTTTTATTTTCGACCATGCATAAATTCGTTTGAATTCATTTTCGACTTACAGAAGCGGTAAAAATCCAGATTTCAAAGATTTTCTGATGGTCAACGCCTCTGCACCTAATTTTTTGAAACTTGAATAGCTTGTCAGTGTAGCACAGTTCATATTCTCACATAGTGTGGTCAAAATGTATTTCGCATAAAAATCCAGCAAATTTCGATCATACATAATTTTTGTCCCATATATTTGCATAGATTTCATCATAGTTGGGAAGAATTAGGAATTCGGTTTATCAATGACACTATTACCTGTTTCATTACGTTGATCCCCTGGATTGTCTTCAGCTCTATTAGAATATCTTCTGACCGCTACTTGAAAGAGTTCGTTGTTATCGATCATTGTGCGTATCATTTCTGTTACTCTTTCATAAATGCACTCGACTGTTCCTCTTAACCTATTAACTTCATTAGTTGGAAAATCATCCTCTTTAAGATTGCCAATATAATCAACTCGAAAGGTCGAGTATCCAGTTGCAGCAAAAGCATCTTTAGCGAGTTGAACATACTTTAAGAAATCAGCTTTTTTCATTTTGGATTTGGACAAGTGGCACAGATGGTTTCTAAGAAGTCGAACTTGGTCAATGGCTAAAGTTAATGTTTCTTCTTCGACTCCGCCTGGACTGATCAGCGAGGGGTGAAATTCGCTGGTTTTTCTCCCTTTTATATATTGGTCGTTGAGTGTTTGAATCTTGAACATGGTGGAGATTCCGAAGGTCTTCGAGTAAATGGTTGCTCTAAACAGATTTGTACAATCCCAATCATGGTACGATGTGTTGGTTGGTACGTCAGTCGTTCCTCCTTCGTGTTTCAAAAAAAGGGCGCGGACTTCGGGTGTGTCGTCCCATTCATTACATCCAAGAACTTTTGAAATCTTTGTGTTCCAAAGTTTCACAAATGTCGCACGTAGCATGTTCGGAAACTCGTCAAAAACGATGGATGAAAATTTGAAGAAATTCAATTCTTCGTTTGAAAAGGGTTTTGCTGCCATTTAGATGATATTTCTTGGAACGTACCAAACCAATTATTCAAATTCCTTGATGCCTACTGGAGAGAGAAGGAATTTTTAACATATAGTTTTATAAAAATATTATTGGTCATATGAAATTTGAAATATGATTTATTTGAAAAATGATAATATTATTGGAAGTATGAAAGTCATCGTTTAGAACAGAGAAATAAACGAGTAAAGAGACTTTTAGACGGCGATTTCACTCGACTGATTTTAGATTGCGTATTAAAATTATTACCCATACCATAAAAACAATCAAATCAAAAACTTGAATTATAATTTTATAATATAGATCAGTACTAGTGTGCAAATGTTTAGATACTCTGTAAGAAGATAACTAGAAATACATGCATGCAGCAACCCCTCGCCATTTCAAACGAAGCAAAATATTTCCTGAGCTAGCCAGACCTAACCTTCAATATTATGAAATGTCCTAAATGTAAAGCCGATAGCTGATGTTTCAAATATTTCGGAAACAAACACAGTCGTAAAGGTGAAGTGAAATCACCCGTTTTCCTGCTGCTTTCCGTTGCATTAAGTTATAGACTTTCACAGTTTAATAATACTTCATTATAGCTAAACCTTCAAAACATCAAAACAGCCCAAATAACATAAATAACCAAGCAGTGAACGTCGAATGTTGTTTTTCGATTATTAAATTCATGCAGTGATTGCAGTCGACTATATATAAACCTTTAAAGTGATATTTGTTATATTAAAACTCCGAATTACACTTTTAAGGACTATTTTGGAAGTTAAAACGATGATGTAAAGCCTTAGATAGTCGGTCACGTCTTCGCAAAACCGAGCAAAACGACATACTGTACCAAGGTCATAAAATGTATTCGTACAGCAAACACGAAATAAACCTCGAAATAAACAAAATAGGCTCCTACCATTTCAAGGATTATAATCGAGTTGTTCCTTTTCACCGCTAATTCCTCCAGTTCTGATAATATTTTAAACTCTTCCCAGTGTTTTATCTGTTATTTGATTCCACATTTCATATTTTGTTTTCGAAACATTTTTTTAAAAAATAGTTTGCAAAATGACAATTAAATTGCTGACGTTTTTCACTGAAACACAAACGTTTCGTCTTAGCCAATCAGGAAGCTGCTGATTACCAGTCTACACTTGTTCGCATTTCGCGCATGCGCGCAAGTACCATGACCATTGAACGTCCATGACATTTGGGCAACTTTGGATTCCGCTATGTTCTCCCGGGTCCCGGGTGTAATTCCTAATCTCCGGGCGGAATTAGTACTCTCGCACGGTGCGCTCCGCACCGGCTCGGGGATAATCTTCCGAAAAATTACCCAAAATACATACAATGACCGGTTAACAAAGGTTATTGCAAAGGTTATTAAAAGGTTATTGCAAAGCATTTTCGCAGACCAATCATTGCCAAATTTCGTATTTGCACGGACAAGTTTGCCTTGTGAGTCAATGTTGATAATGAATATCCGGGGTCACTCGACCAGGTATTTCCTTCAAGACATTCGTACAAATATTCTAGGGCTCTAATGTTGCCAGGCTCTTCAAGATGCTCTTCAATTTGCATCAAACATTAATCCAATGACGAAAGAAAATTTTCCTTCGTCTTAAGTCTGAATAATTTGAGCAATACAAAATACAACGAAACTGATATTTTCATTTCTAAACCTAATATCGAAGAGCATAAAAAAACAACTTTCAGTATAAACTCTTATTTCGATTCCAATAAACATCTGAATGACACTAGATTAATAGAGACACGCACAGAAAAACTTGAGCGTGGCAGAAAACCTTGAACGAATTAAAATTTGAGAGATGAAATCACCTTTTTCAAGATATCATTGTGGAAAAGTATTAAATAAAGTTGAAAGGTGCTTAGACAGCACTAGTTTCCTCAAAACTCTTACATATCTTTATCAAGCTTTAGTGCTACCACACTTTGATTATTGCTCAATAGTCTGGGGTAACTGTGACGAATATTTAAAAGCAAAGCTACAGAATCTCCAGAACTGAGCTGCGAGAGTTATTACTGGTGACTCATATGAGATATTAATATAATTACAAAGGTGATTATTGAAAATACTGGCATTTGATTGGTCGAGCGACCTCGGATTATTACGCGAAGTCAACTAAGCGGTGACTATGGTGAACGTTTGGGAAAAACTCGCTCGCGCGACCGTATAAAATTGAATTAATTAAATTATTTTTCGGTGTAATTGCGGTGTATCGATTATTTTCTCGAAATTAATCCCACCGGGCGAGGGTACTAATTCCGCCCGGAGATTTTAATTACGCCCAGGAATGCAAATGCGAAATGAAAGTTGTCCGCCATTATGTCATGGACGTTGTGCGTTTTTGTAAGTTATGCGCATGCGTGAGTATAAGACGAGTTAAAACTGGTAACTAGCAAACGTTTACAAACGTGCGATTTGCTAAATTAAAATTTGGGTTCACGTCAGCATAACTGATATTTTCAATTATAAAACTTTTTTTAAATAATATTTTTCATTTGGATGGTCCTAAAAATATACGATAAATTGACTCGTAAAATTGATTAAAATATAATGTAAAAGATGCCTTTGGATAGAAAAATTTTCATTCCAATGGATGGTAAAAAATCTACGATTTTGAAGCATTTTTAAAGTGTTTTTGAACAGGTAAATGGTAGATTTTGTATTTTAAAGTATACAAGTATTTTGTAAGTTTAATATGTGGATTTATCAACAAAAGTATGACCCCTCTTTGAATTTATTCGTCAATTTCGTTGAAATGATTTGGATTTGGAAAGTACTTATTTTAAAAGGTGAATTTGTTTAAAAAGTAATTGAAATTTCGCTAAGAATTGTAGTATTTAAAACTATTCGTAGCACAATTATGATTATATTATAGTCGAATTTGATAGCTCGAGAGTCGACTTTATAATTGTACCAAGATATAGGATTTTACTTTACGACTTCGATCATTCAGCAGAAACGAGTATTATAGAATTTCAGTGATGGAAATATTGTTTATAGCTTAAAATATTGTTTATTGTTTAAAGTTTATTGCTTCAGGCGAGGGGACGACTTTGCATGCAATGTATTTCTAGTATATCTAGGTACAGGGTGTATACTACTCGCCTTCGTTGTCTGTGAGCGAATAGTCAACTCAGGCTTCGTCTTCGTTGACTATTCGCTCATAGACAACTTGGACTCGTTGTCTAATTGTTGAATAGTTAGAATGCACCAGCAAGCCACATGCTGTGCCAACTTTGGTTATTTTATTAAATCGCAAAGTGTTATTAAGCGATACATGATATAATGGGGAGATTACGAACACAGCAGCATCGAGCCTGCGAGACTGAAAGAATATATAGTATAAGTGAAAAATGAGTGAAGATGCCTATACAATCGACTATAGGCACTCTGACTCAATCTAACCCAAAATATGTAACAAAGTTAACATTTTTGTTAGGTTCATATTATTGTTTCTGATGGTGTCTGTATGCTACTCTATGCTTTGAATTACAGGTTAGTGAGGTTACTTACGGGAATAAAGGATAACACGTGACCTAAATGCCTTATAAAGTAAACCAAAGATCGATGGTGTGGTTTCAACCATGGCTATCTATAATATTTGGGTTGATAACTCAGGGAAGAACCATCACAATATCATTAACGCTGGTTTGATTATATGACATATAATCATTTGACATAATCGGTCTTAACTCGCATATGCATGTCATCATTTGTTTTAATTTGTTAGAATTCGGTTTTCATACTTCGTCAGACTTCGCATAACAACGAATTTCAAGAAAGGCGTGTGAATTACGATGACTTATTAAACATTAAAACCTGCCTTTCAGGCCGAGTTTATCCATCGTATTTTGATCGCGTCAGATACAATTTAAACACGGCAATAGGTGAAATAATACGCCTCGTTCATAGTTTGAATTGCATTCGATGCGACCAAAATACAACAGATAAACTAAGCCCAATCTATGCATCTGAGTTACACACGCGCATTCATTAAAACATGAAACCCTAAGAGATCTATAGAACCCCCCTCCGAAAAAAATGACTGCCCCTTTTAATGATCCCAACCCTAATTTAATTCGTCTATACATGTTTTACATGGAGCGAGTTATCCCCGCTAGGCGAGGTGAAGACTGCCTAAACTGCCTAGGTTAAGCCTTTGATGTAATGCGCGCTTTTTACCTCGCCTAGCCGGGATAACTCGCTCCATGTAAACAGGCCCTTAGAGGCCTGAACTGTTTCGAAGGAGATATGTAATACAGTTCAATCCATAAATTGCAGCAATTTCCGGATAACTCTCCATGTAAAGACACGCCGCAGTTGCCCAATTTAATTAATCTGCAAACAAACGAGTGTGCCTTAAGCCCGTCGCACACGTGCGCTAATAGCTGAGCTTTTAGACCTCGCGCGGTTGTTAGCTCACCAAGTTAGGGTGGGTTTCATTTGCAGAGAAATAGTTAGCTAGCGAAATATTCGCATATTTTCTTTAGAATTTTCACAGAATAACTAAATTAGTTTAGCTTCACCCTATTCATTTTAAGAGAAAATATATGCAAATATTTCGCTAGCGAACTATTTCTCTGCAAGTGGAAATCCAGCCCTAATGCCCCCCACAGACCGGACGCGATTTGGCAACGCGGTGCGATTTTTCAAAGTTTTTGATTTTCCAAAAGAAAATAAATTTTAAACTATCATAGTTTTCAGTTAAACAAAACATCTGCTCTGGCGCGCCTATCGTATGCCAGTCTTATATTAGTGTGCAGTGTAATATGTGTAATGTGTTCACGAATATAATATAAATGGTTCATGACGCGTTAGAGCTTGGTCGTATTCTTTTTCAATCATGTGCGACGTTTTTACGCGCCATGCGGTACCATATCTTTAAACGGCGAAATAGCAGCGATATTATTAAAATAGAACCTAAATCAAGATGTAAATATATTCTTACGCCAGTTGAACCTAAACTTAATCGAGCAGCATTAAAAGAACGGTGTATTTGTGCGTCATGAAGAGGTATTATGTTTTATGTGAGCAAAATCGAATCGCGCATCAGAAAATTGGCCTAAGATGTGATAAGACGACGAAAAATATTTAAAAAATAACAAAAATTGAAGAAAACAAATTTCAAAACTATTTCAAATTTCAATACTTACATTTCCTACACGCGGGGCTGGTAAAATGTGATTCTTCCCTCGTTGACGGGAGTATAAATTCTGCTCTTAAGGTTTGAAGTTATTGGAAGCCAAGTCAATGTTAATTGATGCGATACCTATTCGACCGACAAGCCATGCTTCCAATTAAATTTTAATAAAAAGGCTGCAGTTAAGAAGGGCTGCAGGTGGCTAGGCTGCTATGTGTCTGCGCCACAAACTGCATTCTAATTTATAACTACATAAATATATTATGCAGATTTATCGAGTCGATCATTCGGTACAAATAGGCACAAAGTGCTTGTGGAAAACTTCATCTGGAACATCAATATATCCAATAAAATCTTCCACACAAATCTATATAACATCACTGTTCAAAACCCAAACATTCAGCCGGATATTTCATTTTCAAAAGCAAATAACACTTTTGAATTTTCATCACTTTCTACCTTGAGAATGTTTTGTGTTCGCCTTACTTCTCGATTTCCACCCTGTTCTGAATTTTTTCCATATAGATTGTGCGTTAGCGAACCATTTTGTCTCCAAAGCTCCGTTTGCACTACCGTCATTTTATTGGCACGGCACGCCTATAAATGTGTACGCGTACCCAATTTTATTAGTGTTCAGGTTATCAATACAAAGGCCGGGCACGAATAAAAAGGGCACGGGTACTCATTTTAGCCGTGCCGTGCCAATAAATCGAGTGTAGTGTAAACGGGGCACAAATATTGTTTTGTTTCAATAGAAAAATGGAGCTCATCAGCTCAACCCAGTTCAGTCGCTATTATTCCGGATTCTATGTGACCCAAAGAAACAAAACAACTCATTAAAGCTCTATATGCAAATACTTGTGAAGAGGAGTTTGTTACATAATCGAACTCGTTTGATCGATTATAGCGCTGAGCAACCGTCTTGTTTTAATATTGTATTTGAAATGCCTAGAATAATAATTATCATCGAAGTAGAACTGGATGAAGTTGATAGACATGTATAATTGAGTGTCAAGATCCTCAAATGTGTGCCCAAATACGGAATATGAAGTAAATCATTTGTTAAATGTGAACACGCTGAATACGTGATAATTTGACAAAGCCACGACGCAACGTCAAAGACACATAAGAGGAACAGTTGCACAGCATGCCACACATATATATGAGATCGCAAATTTACGTTTGCTTTGCAAAGCCATGTCAAATCATTGACATTGTAGTATATATATATATATATATATATATATATATATATATATATATATATATATATATATATATATATATATATATATACTTTTCCTTTCAATGCTAACCGAAACGTCGCAAATAGTAACTCGTTCTTCAAGTGAACTCTTAGCAACCGTCTCGCTTCGTTTTGTTTTGAAAACAGTGAATATTAATTTTCATCGGTTGGATATTTCATACAATCATTAACATGCAAAGTAGAGCGAGAAAATTAGCAAAACTATGGCGTGATCCAAAGTCGAGGATAGTATTTGGATTGTATTTTTTCATGGAGTAAATCATTATGTAAAATATGAACACGGTGAATACCATATGTTCTGAAAGGGCCATGTAAGGGCCGTGTTGTTGCGTTACGATATGTTATTTTGTTATGTTGAATGCGTGACGACGCCGTACCGTGAATTAAAACCTAAAAGTGCAATGGCAGAGCATGCCTAGCAAAACTTTCAAATTAGCAAAACTATCCAGATCATAAATCACTTTTCTCTGATACTAAACGCCTAGTTAACGTCTAATTTATTTATATCAATCGTTTGGTCGTATACAAGTATACAATCATGAAAGAATGTTTGCTGTCTGTAATACAATCAGACGCCAGACCGCAACTTATATGATTTGAAATCTTGCATTGTAATAAGAATGACCGAGATATACCATGCCGTTAGGGGAACTTAATCGGAACTCCTTGCCTTGTAAGAACGCTTTAACTACCAAAAGATATGGACAATTGTACAAAACATTCGCTTATAATTATTTCAGTGACATTATATAAAATCACGCCATTTCCTTGAACCATACATTCGCGTACTTACAATTCATAGATTGTCCAGTTTCATTCAATTAATTCACTGGTTAGCTGCGATGTATTCCAATGGTTTATTTTCGGCTTTCAGCTCATGTTATACGAGTTCTGATTAACAGTAGAAGTAAATTCAATATTCCTACACAACAATGTAATATTCTCTAAAATAAATATTCAGTAATGACGCGTAACGTCAATTAAGCCCCATACAGACGGGCATGCAGGTTTCCGGCCTTGACAAGTTTTCCTTGACAAGTTTTCCTTGACAAGTTTTATTTGCTCGTGTGTACGCGAAGAAAATGACAGGTTTTCCCTGACAAAGAGCCTTGTTCCAAAGCTAGTCTCGAATAATGATAGCTTTTAAACAAGGAAAATGCCCGTGTGTACGGCCGTCAAGGAAAACTTGACAAGGAATTGGCAAAGAATTGTAGGGAACTGCCCAACAATATCTTCGATCCAATCGGGCGGGTTTTTGAAGTTTTATCATTTCTTTTTGTATTGAGATTCGGTCGTATACTCATTTTATCATGCCTCATGATATCGTAAAATTTACTCATATTATCGTAAAACTTGTCAAGAAAAATTTGCCAAATTTTTCGCGTACACACGAGCAAATAAAATTGGCAAGGCAAAAGAACGTGTTCGAGAAAAACGTGCGAAAAAAGTGTTTTGGTCAAGAAAACTTGTCAAGGAAAACTTGCCTGACTGTACGGGGCTTTACTCACAAAAGTCGCAATTCCTGCCGCAGCATGACACACGTGTACGAGATCGCAAATTTACGTTTGATTGGCTTCCACATCATTAACTGAAACATTACAAAAAGAAACTCTTTACCTTATGTGAACGTTTAGCAATCATCTTTTTTCGCTTTGTCCTTGAAACAGTGCATATATAATTATCATCGGTTGAGATATTTCAAAGAACTATAATAACATGCAAAGTATATCAAGAAAAATTAGCAATTAACTGCATTATCCTAAGTTACTTTTCGTTTATGAAGTAAATCACTTATTCACTATTTAAAATGTGAACACCCTGAATACCATATGTTTTAAGAAGCCGTTGAAGGAAAACAAACAGTTTGTTGCGTTCCTGTATTTTAACTTCTTATATTGAGCGCATGATGACGCGGTAATATTATAATTATGATCTTCATTGAGATATGTTTTTTCACAATAAAGTGATTTTCAAAAAAATTACAAAATCATGTAACAACAAACAACAGTTTATATCTATCTTTATTAACATTAAGAATAAGTGTAGCTAAGCCTTCAGATGCAGATGGATAGAAGAGTTTGTCAAATATAAGCTTTGAATGCAGCCTTATTTTACAAAATTGGTAGGCTAGACAATCGAATAACTTTAGGCTTACTTCCTATATTTACTTACTAGGAAAACACAAAAAAAGAATAACGGCATCACAATACTATTATAATAAAGGAGAGTTGTTTAGAGAGGCAATGCGGTAGATGCTTAATATGTTTATGAAGAGCAAGATTAAATTTCTTCACAAAATGCTCAACAGGATATGTTCATGTAAAGTAGCAGATTTCGAAGTCAGAAATTAAAATTCCCAAATACTTGAAACTACAGACATTGCCCACCTTATATGATCCAGAATCGACATTTCCAATTTGCATGCGATTTACGCCCATAAACATGCATATATTATTTTAAGTTTAGAGTAAGTTTATGTTCGTTTAGGCATTTTGCTACTGTAAAAAGGTGTCTGTTTAGCTTCTCACTTAGTTCCTGGGACAACGAATCATATAGCAATAGTTCACCGTGTCATCACCATAAAGTGGTGCATGTAAAGCGAACCATGCACGCATGTGTCATGAATGTGGCATGAGATCACAAATTATCGTGTGATTGCCTTGCACAAATCATTTTAAATCATGATAGTTAAACTAATTTCCAATGCCAACGGAAACCTAAAAAAAAGACACTCTTTGGCTTGATTATACCGCTGACCAATCCAATTAATTTTCTTTTGGAACGCCCTGAAGAGAAAGAGCTCCTTTCATGATCAGATACATACCGGTATTCAACTAAAAAGATTGGACAAGCCAAATAGTAAATTACGGCAAAGACATGACAAAGCAAATAATTAACTCCTTCACCGCGTCAGCAATGAACAAAACTTTCCATTTCAAAAAAAAAACATAAAAAGATAAAAAAGGCGTCATCTCATTGTCGTCCAGTCATAGAGCTACGAAAAAGATATTTTCTTTCAATACCAAACAACTTTTTGATAACCAACCCCATTGAATTTGAACATTTTGCTGTACAAATAATTGTAACGTACACAGACAACAGAATGAAAAAATAAAATGAATTCCTGTCTTTGAAAAAGATCATAAGTACAACGTCCAGGGGAGGGATAGTAGTGAAGAAAGAGTAAGGTAAAAACATACTTGAAAAACAACATCTATAGTGCACCCAAGAAATGAGCCTAAAACAAGATAACAAGATAACGGTGATAATTCAATTTCCGGTGAAAATCCGAGCAGATTTTATCCTTTAGCCCACTTGGAAACTTTTAGAAATTGATTGTTCACAGCTATATATCCTTCAGTCAATCAGACTGTTTCACTCACTCATTTGCCATGCACGGATTAATATAAAAAAATCTTATTTTGACAATATTGAAATTTAAATAAAACTTTAAGAATTTTGCTTAAAATGAAAACAAAAAATTCCAGAAAAAACCAAACGAAAAAAACAAACATAACAACGACTCTTAAAACAACAGTATATTGTAAATATTGAAATATTATACATGCGTGGTTAAATAAATTAAAAGTTCAAATGATGTCTTTTAGAGACAATCAAATACGACTAAAATATAAACGGTCCTCTAAAGTTTCGTTCTTAAGTTTAATGTTTTCTATATGCGAAGTGATTATTTAAGAAATAGAAAACATTTTCCGTGTTTCTATACAGTTATAGAAACACGCGTGGGAGTTTGGGAGAACGAGAAATAATCAGTGGGAAAACGAGCCCGAAGGGCGAGTTTTTCCACGTTATTTGGAGTTCTCCCAAACTCCCACAAGTGTTTCTATAACTTTATAGAAACACAGGAAAAACTTTTTCTATTTCTTTTATAATATAACTCGATAAAAAGAATTTGTACAAATATTATAATTCGATTCAATTACAAATTCTCATTACATCGCTTCGCTTGTCAAGTTCGGCGGGAAAATTCCCGTGTTCCTATACAGTTATAGAAACACGCTTCTCGACCAATCAGCATGCGCGTACTATAAATGTTATATTATAAACTTACTTATTATTTATTAATTTTTGTGAAACGTTAAATTACTATTTAATAGTTGCCGTGTTCGACGAAAGTTATGAGAAATAAAACAGATTAATAAAAAATACAAAGCGGTGTTATCACGTGAACAAATGGAGGATAATCAAGATATCGTCACCAGTAGTAGGAAGTTAAAGATCATGCAGTATTACAGGCGTGGTAATGAAAATGTTCCAGAACATCTGGCAGAATTGAAAAACACTTTGTGTACTTGGTTCTGCACTGTTAATTTTGCGGTGTCATATTGACACCAAAAAAGGTGTCAAATAAAAAGGCACAGAATAACACCATTTCGGGTGCTAAATTGACACCGCGAAATAAGGTGTCAAATTAGCACGATCTTTGGTGCTAGTTTGACGCCTATTTTTGGTGTTAATCTAACACCCGAAGTTTGCGTGGTTTAGTTTTTGCACTTTTAGCCCTAGCAATGGAGCGACTAAATAGCATAAGCTATAATCATACAAAGTGGACAAAATGCGATTTAAAAATGACAACTCTGACATTTTGTGATTTCTTAATTGCACTCAAAAAACACTTTTAAGCATAGTCGAAAATTACAAATTTACAGTGAGGTTTTAAATTCTTTATATTATTAACGGCCAAATGTTATATAAATCCATTAGGAACAATTTCACTGTCACGATTTTGACTTGCAAAGTTAACTCAAGTTAACCTTGCAAGCTTAACGCTTAATTAAGGTAAGCTTAACTCTTTATTTTTCTACTAAAATTATGACCAACATTCCTCATATTATGAGGAATTTACCATCCCGTGGACTGTGAAATGTCTCCTGGTAGTTTCCTGCCTGTAGCGTAGTGTCTCAGAGGCAATATGCGCACCTCTTTCGTGAAAAATTTCGTATACAATCACAATCATCGAGTTAATGATATACGAGTTTAAAACCAATACTTTGTTAACTTGAAGTCTCAACATCTGATATTAACTCACATCAACATATCAACTCACAATCACTGCACCATCGATAATTATCTTGTTTAGCCTTCTATCTTTCAACTTAAATCATTCTGCATTCTTCCCAAGTCCGCTTTTCGTTCGTGAAGTTTATTTGATTTGACTTTCATAAAAACTCGTCGCCCTCGCTTTATGTACTGCAACAGCAAGTATTTATTTTCCTTTAGCATATGCGAAGAGTTTCCACAGCAACTGATTCACGGCATATAATTTCATTGCAAATCGTGATTGTGTCACTGGTGATTTCCTTCCAAAGAACTTTTGACTGACTATCGTATCTTGACTTAATATGACTAAATATGATTTCACGTTAATCTTCAAAGTATCTTCACGATACTTTGACTAAATATCTTCACGTTAATATACGGAATGTTCTCTTGGCTGACTTTCGCAAATCTAATGAGACAATGGCTGCGTCCAAGTTTGGGATATCGATGTGGTGTTTTTGTACGAAGCATCAAAACCCGAATCATTACTCGTGACTTTCTTGCGAAGAGCCTTTTTCTGAGTTTAAAGTGTATTCACGCAAATACGGAATGTTTTTTTTTCACAAAATTAATCAGACCATGCGTGGCTGCGTCCAAGTTTGGGATGTGGTCTTTTTGCACAAGCATCAAAACTCGATCCATTACATCATCTTTCTCATTCCAGTGATATATGCTAGTATAATTCGGCTACTGTTTTCCACTAGGTAATGGAATGTTGGTGGTATATGTCATTTTGTTTCAAAAAGTGCAGTGCTATATATGTCACAATTGATAGAGCTAGAATATCCTTATCGTTTTTTCATCTACTAGAAATTTTATATATGCTCATTTGAATGGCACAATTAATATATAATTATCTAAATGTCTTGCCTCAATAAATTAAAGATGATGTAAAGTCCGTTCTGCGCATATAGACCGCGCATAACAATGTTTGTTTACGTTTGTTATATAATCTTTACTTGACGTATGTATCGTTTTAATTTTCTTCTTTTCTTCTCGTTCTCGCTCGACCGGCTGTGATGAATATGCTTATTTTATATGATATTTTGAAGAAAATATTATTATATTTTGAAGAAGATATAAAGCGAAGCTTGTAAATAAACCGTTACTTAAAACTGTCTTTATATATTTGTAATTGTAGGACAAGCGAGAAAGTAGCGTCTGTAGCGACGACAAATAGCCTCGCTATTTCGGGTCCTCATTCATCAAATAAATTCTTGAAGCATTCCTTTCAGCATAATATTGCTTTTCACTAGCAGCCTTATCTTCATCACTCGCAATTCGAGCCGCTTCGCCTTGCGACATAAAATAAAATAATCCCGAACTGTCCTTTTTCAATACAAAGCGCTAATATCGCATATCATTAACATTCCAAAAGTTGCTCCCCCACTGATGGAATGTGTTGCTGCGCGGAATATATGCGCAGAACGGACTTTACCTCATCTTTGAAAAAAAAACATTAATTCATACTGCTGAGAACAACGAAAATTCGTTCGCTTGAGCGGGATATCAACCCCAATTTATTCTTGTTGACATATTTTTTAATATGACGCCGCAGAACTAGCGTTTTTCGTTGTTCTCAAGCGTTTATTTATTATCCTCCGTTCAAGGGAAAACAAACTCTTTGGATCAAGTAAATAACCATAATAAATTAAAGAATAGTGTCAGTTGTTGTTTCCTTTATAAAATCGGTTCAAAGTAGAAACAAAACATTTTTCTTTTCATGAAAACTAGTCTATTCGCTTAAAATATTTTCTGAACGGGAAAACGATAACAAAGATACAATTTTGTGGTACTCAGCATTTCCAGAGCATAATTAATGTATGTCTAAGAAATGTTGAATACGGGACAATGCTGGATTGCACTCTTCCAACGTTAGGAAAGTGTACATTGGAACTTCCACCCAGATTTTAACATCAGAGGCCAATAAAATATTTTGAAACTATAACTTTCAAAAATGAACTCGAGAGGTTTATTATCCTCGCGATAAGTAGCAGCTTGCATGGCAGCTTCTTCGATTTTTTAAATGGACGAATCGGTTTAAAGACTGTCAACCTCTCCTCGGGTCTTTTGGACCAGCACCAGCATTCTCGTACATCCAAGCAGGTTTGACAGATCAGCTTCACTTAAAATATAAACAGCATACTTACGGTTGGAACCAGACGATCTTGTGGAAAACTATCAGAAGATCTTTGGGTGGAGAACCGCATCCGATACAAGAACAAGTTTGTCCAAGTTATGTCAAAAACTGGAAAAATAGCTGCTAATTGTAGTGAAAAATTGGAGATAATAATACTTCGGTTAATAATACTTTTGTTTACACATGTTGGGTCAAGATTGCGTCTTGATCGTGCGCGTTCAAGGCTTAGTAAAAACATCCCCCAAATTATACATGATTATACACGGGTAAAAATCATCATGTTGATGCAAGTTGTTCAAAACAGGCGTGAACAATGTTGTTCTGCACCCTGTGAACAGGATTGTCAGCAATTATTGTTGAACCATCAATACTGTTGCAACGTGTTGGCAATCATGTCAACAAATTGCATCAAGATTGATGGTTCAACAAGAATCAACAACATTGTTAAAAATAGTTGTTCATGGGGTGCAGCACAACATTGTTCACTCCCGATGCGACAAACTGATCAATTTTTTGCTCTGCATGTAAAGTTTTTGATACGTTAGCGGAACGTACTTTCCACGCAAATCTTCATATAAGCTAGCGCTATGTGCAATGACTCAAATATAATTGACTGAATTTGTATACAGCTACGCTCATTTATATATACTAACAAACAACCTAAAGCGCGGATTCCCTTACTTTATCTAGTCCTTTGACTAGATGTATGACACAAAACAGAGAAATGTAAAAATGCTGTCGAAAACTTCCAATTTTTAATTGTGAGTGCATTTAAATTTGTGAGTTGAAGGGAGAATTTCTTGAATATCCCTTGTATAAGCAAACACGGAGAAATCTATAAAAAATATTTAGATATTCTAAACAGAACCTGTAAATGCCCTTCCTAGAACTAAACTGCAAAAAAAGACAACGTTAACCTATACTACGATATATTATTGCAGATTAAGATTTTCAAACGAACCAGTATGCTCATCAGATGGCAATACAACAAAACCAGAAAACATTTTCTCAGATTTCTCTCTTATCGTTTCAATGTCACACCTTGTAAACATCACGTCCTCTCCATAGAGAATAAATGGAGCCCAAATAAAAAAGGATCGGTAATATTTTCTTTCGTGTTGTTGAAAGAGGTTCATTACCCTTCTTAAAGCTTCACAAACTGGTATTTCCTGAAGCAGTTCGCCGTAGAATGCTTTCATAAACTCCTTTGTAGCATCATCACTAATGGGCCATAGTGTGGCGAGAACAGAGCGAGCTCCAGCAGCAAGAAAAGATCGGGCTATACCCATGACACCTTCTGAAGAAATCTTACCTTGCCCTGTGTGACAACAGCATAGGACGACCAAGTGAGCTTGCAATGAAATACTCGTAATATCATTCTGTGTGAGGAGATATGAAGCTGGATTTAGAAGAGAAGAAGATGGTTCATTTAAAGAAAGGTCAGGAGCAAGAATTATTTCACCTCTCTTCGGTTCACCATGAGCAGCAATATGAATTATACTAGCACCACTTAAAAGTCCGAGAACAACCTGTTTTTTCGCTTCACCTTTTACCAGAGGCCTTGCTGCGAAAAGCTTTGCAAGACTTGCAACCTCTTCAGCCGCTTTGGGTAGGTCAGTAGGTGTGAAATCTGTGCCATACAAAGAAATCTTCCCAACTTTTTGATTACCAACAAACAACGCAAACCCGAGGTCAGAGTCATGGGGGTGTTCTTTGGTAAAGGTCAGAGTGTGTAATGAGGGCGTTACTTGAATGCTGTAACTTTGAGATAAATAACGATCATTTTCATCAATCAGGGACGAAAATGGTACAAAAAACAGTAGCCCGTGAGGAACAACAATGAGCTTATTTCCTTTGATGGCATCTCTTATCGGTTGAATAAGAAAATGGAACAGTTTTCGTAAAATAGTTTCATCACTGAGATGATCGGCGCTCGGATTTTTTTCCTGCAAGCCTGCAAACTTTTTTCGTTTCGACGGCTTGTTTGGCGGTGAGATTATGTGACTTTCAAAACTATGTTCATTCGCAAGTGAATTAGGTTTAAAAAATGAAGAATCTCGATTGACATTGACACTCGTCCTTGTGGAAAACTGAGTCATCAGGGACTCCAATGTATTCAATGCTTCATTTGACATTAGGCACTTAAAGGTAACATCACTATTCAAAACCCAAACATTCAGAGAACTTTTACTTTCAAAAGAAAATAACACCACTGATGTTTCATCACTTTCTACCCGAAGAATCTTCTGTATTCGCTCTATTTCTAGATTTTCCTCCCCGTTCTCGATTTTGCTCCAAACAGATTGTGCGTAAGGGAACAACTCTGTATCTAAATAATTTTCACAATGTTTTCTTTCAATAAAAAAATGGAGCTCTTTAGCTCTACCCAGATCAGTCACTAATAGTGCGGATTCATAGCGGCCTAGAGAAACAAAACAACTCGTTAAATCTCTCTGGGCGCTAGAGTGTATTCTTGTGAAGGAGAGTTTGTTTTCATCTGGAACCGTATTTTGGAACAGCTGTTCAAGAACTTTAATAGATTTTACTAAATATGTTGATGCAACATTATGCTGTCCTAAACGCCGATGAACACTTGCAAGATCATGATAACTATAAGACATCAGAAGCGACTCGCCAATATCAGTGCTTATTTCTAAACTTTTTTTACCATGTTCAATGGCTTTTTCATGATCACCCAACAGTCTATATAAAACACCGATGTGTCTATTGGCTTGTGCTATCGCTGATGGAATTCCAGTCGTATTGGCTATTTCTAAACTCTTTTTGTGACAAATGAAAGCCTCATCAAATTTTCCTAGTGAAATGTAACAAGATCCCAAGCTGTTATTGATCTTGGCTACTGAACTTTGATCGCCTTCTGCAATGGAAAATTCTAATGCTTTCTTGTAATAGCCAATTGCAATTTCATACTTCTTTTTGAAAGAACTAAAAATATTACCTAAACTGAAGTTGATTTGTGCCATTACTGACTTATCATCAATGGCCGTGCCGATTTTAAAGCTGTCATCCAAATAGCTTTTGGCCTTTTTATACTCTCTTAATCTTTGGTAAACACAATTCAACTGACAATTTGCTCGTGCTATACCTGCTTGGTCACCGACCGCCTTTGCCATCTCTAAAGATTTTCCGTAACAGTCAATGGCCTTGCAATATTGATCTAAATTTAAGTGAACACGGCCCAAATTGATACTGATATCTTTAATTCCATTTTTGTCATCAAGAGCGTTATATATGTTTAATGCTTGTTTGAAATAAGCAAATGCATTTTCATATTCACTGGAACCAAAATAGATCTGGCCTAAACGGCTATTACTCTCAGCTATTCCTTTCTGGTCGCCAATCGCACTCATAAGTCTTAACATTTCTTTGAAACATTGAACTGCATCTACATTTCTTTCTAGTTCATGGTAACAAATGCCCAAATTGCAATTGACCTTTGCTATTTGCTTTTGATCACCAATGGTTGCTCCCAACCCTAATTCTGCATTATAATATTCAATTGCAATTTCCCACTTTTTTAAACAACTCCCATAAATACTACCTAAAGCGCTATTGCTTTCTGCCATTAATAATTGATTGCCGATAGTCGTGCTAATATCTAAGCTGTCTTTCAAACAGCTAACGGCATTTTCATAGTCTTCTAATTTTTGGTAAACATCACCCATATAGAAATTGGCTTCTGCCAAACCTGCTTGGTCACCGACCGCCTTTGCCAACTCTAAAGATTTTCTGAAATAATCAATGGCCTGGCTATAATCACCTAAATTCACGTGATCACGGCCCAAATTGATACTGCGAAGTGCCTCTTCATTTCTTCCTGAAACACGATCTGCCATTGTTGAGCGAGAACCAGAAGCGGCGTTCATGTCGACAGCTTATTTTAGCATTTAATGCATTTGCGTGTTTTCTATATCTTTCTTAAGTCCTGAATATGAAATATTTCATAATACTGAAATGTCGTCTTATAATCACACCAAAGAAAAAACAATCAGGTAGTGTTTTTTAGCACGCAATTATTTCGTGATTCCAACTGGTGGTGACTTTTTCTAAACGGTTTTTACACTCAATACCTTAATTGTGGCTCGGATTCGTTTTCTTTATTCTCTATCTTTTTCAGCATAAAGTCGCCTTCCTCAGTCTAAAATTATATAATTTTTATTAAGATGGACGTCTTTACATGTGAACATATGCCTACGACGATTGTCGCCGGCCGAAAAAAGGTAGTTAACTTTTAGCTAGAGTTAGTGACGGGATATGCCTTTAATCAAGATCGTGTTTTTTTTTCTTTAACTGTGAATTAAATACCTCAGACGAAGTTTGGAGTTTCATTCAAGCAGACCCAAAGTATTTTTTGGTCTTTTTTATACTGCGATTAGAATTAGGTATAGTAGCCTCGCTTCTCTTTACGCTATGAAGGCCCATTTGCCGTTGAGTTAGTGGAAAGTTAGCCTAAACGCGTTTGGATTTTGATGTAAATCTGAACATTATTCATAAGTCAAGCAAAGTTAGTTGTCTTAACAACTAAAAGAATTATACACATAATTTGCTCCCAAAGAAAGCTAACTCTTACTTTATTAACCACGCTTGCTCTTGTCAGCTACCTCTGTAGCTCAGTGGCAAGAGCATTGCACCGACATCGCAAAAGCGTAGGTCGATTCCTGCCGGAGGACCTATAGTTGACTCAATTTTCCTCAACTGTTCCTGGCTTGAGTTTGAAGTGTGTGACATAATTCCACTCGAATTTAAGACCCTTTAACTCTTACTGTGCTTTCTATGTACTTTCTAGGAACCAAAAGCTTCAGTCCGAACACCCGCTTTCTATATCCTTAGCATGAAGTGAATTTTTTAAAGCAACTGTCAAATATTTAGAGTGTCCTGATGATATTAATTGATCAACATGTTTCTCCCATACCCAACATTTGGAAATTTAGTGTGCATGCATGTATTAAGCCCTAGTCAAACGAGAATGAAAGTTGATGAAAGTTGATGAGAGTTGCAACTCTGCTAGCGTCTGACCGCAAACTCTTACGCGCTCTCATCAACTCTCATCGACTTTAAACTGGTTCAAATTTGATAACAGTTGAGAGTTCGGGCACGTTTGATCGGTCATGAGAGTAGATGAGAGTTGCAAAACAGCTAGCGGTTCGTAGTAGTAACTGGCTTAGGAGAAAAGTACAACATTAATACAAAATAGTATTGTCATGAATAGTATGACTGCATGCATGGTTAACTCTCGCTTCTCAACTCTCATCAATTCGCATTCTCATTTGAACGGAGCTTTATTAAGATTTCTGAACTTTCAGCTCGTAAACAGTCTTCAGAGAAACTAAACTAATTAAACATTCCAAAATCCTTTTTTGATTTTCGTCAGGTGGTCTCATGTTACAACACATTATAATCATCGCATTGACGTTCAGCAACTCTTTTGTCTCCATTTGTTCGAACTTCAGTGTCTCTCAATTTACTACCATTTGTTCGAACTTCAGTGTCTCTCAATTTACTACCATTCTTCGTTGACTACTTTTAAGTCAACTTATTAAAAGGTGTAGGCATATACGTTATTCGATTCAATTTATTATTCATGCAAATTGAATTTCATATAATGCAAGTTGATAGATTTGTACTCGAGTGGCAAAGATCCTCAAATATGTGATTAAATACGGAAGAGATTATTGTGTGAAATGTGAATACATTTGAGTACGACATATTTAACAAAGGCATGCAAGAGAAAAGCACGGTCTGTCGTGCCATGTTTATTTGTAATGACGCAGTACCGTGGATTATTAACAAAGTGCAATTTGCAGAACATGCAAAGCATAAGTTCTTCTCACTCACTCACCGCGACATTGAAGAAATTTTCAAGACAGATTTCCAACGATTTCTCATAAAATTGACGTATGCAGTAGAATCAATATGATTGATAGCCGAAAGATCGATAGGAACTCGTTAGCTCGATTACAACGCTTAGCAACCGCCTTGTTTTTATTTAGTCTTCGAGACAGTGCATTATTCATTGGTCGAAATATTTGAAAGAATCGCTGGTATACAAAGTAAAAGGAGAAAAATTTAGCAAAACTATCTTGATTTTAAATTCCTTTTCATTCATACGGAGGGAAAACCGACTTAATTGCATCAATCGTTTGTCGTGTTTAATACAACCCTGAAAGTTTAATGTCTAACGTTTATTGTCTGTCATATAGTCGTACTGGTACCAGTCCCCAGCCGACCGCAACTTATAGTTTGAAATCTTGCACTTTAATAAGAATGTACGCGACCAAGATACCTTGGGCAAAATTTATCCTTCCTTTCCAAGTAAGAAAGTTTTAACTACCGAATAAAGTGTAGCCAATTGCACAAAACATTCGTTAATTTTCTAAAACTAAACAATGAGCTAGTGTTTGAGCAACACTTTATAACCAAGCAAATTCCATATGGCACTAACCGCAAGCGTGTCTTATTACATGGTTGCATGGAAGCGAGGTAAATATTTGCATTCTGATGCAAGTTATCGTTGGTGTAATAGACCACTTGCGTAATAGACCAACTTTTGATTTAGGCGACAAGAAGAGAATATCTGAAAAGAGCGTACAAAACCTGCTAAGTTTAGCTGCGAAATATTGTAAAGTACCGAAAATAAGCCAAACGAAGTTAGCAAACATTCAACGTGTACTTTTCTATTATGGTCAGAAAAGTGTATTTAACACTTCCGCCCGCAGTACAAAACATGATATTTAAAAATTGCCCACTTCGCAGTTCACATGGCTATATTTTCCGTAATACACGACATTTTGCAACCAAACTTTGCAATTATACTAATCTCAGTACACTCTTTTAAGCTGTGGTGATTAATTTCCTTCTTGTCTTAAAACATAGATCATAAGTTGGGCTATTATATAATTTAGACGGCAACATGCATTGTATGCGTGCAGATATAATAGTATTTATAGAAACGCAGGCTAACAGGCTAATTTAAAAGGTAGAAATATAATATATTGCTTATCATACCTATGGCTGTAGTTCGTTATCCCTACAAACTGATATATATAAGATTGCTCCGAGCAGCCTTATATTCGTGCAGGCGGAGCAGCTCTATTTCAGCGTTTTTTTTATTATGATGGTTTCTTTAGCACACGTACCATAGTACTGCGGTTTCATCTTATGCGAATGCGTAATGCTTCATATTCGCATTTTTATACGGTCTCAACTTTAAAAAGAATTACCATAAGCATAACCACGATACAATAAGGTATCACTTAATATTTTACATGCTTTTTAAACGTCCTCGTGGATAACAATCCGGTATGCAAGAATTTTTTATATTAAGAGGTTAAAAGGAAATGGAGGAATTCTTGAGACAGGATTTTTAGAAAAGCAAGCACACGTCTATGGCTGCAGTCGAAAGGGCTCGTTAGAATGTTGAAAACGAACGAAAAGAACCAACTGGAGAACTGGCTAGTGTTACATCATTCAAATTGGATATGTCAGATAATGTCAGGTGTGCAGCGTTAGAGCTCAGGGACCAGTTGTTCAAAGCTAGGTTAGCGCTAACCCTGGGTTAAATTTTAATCCAGTGTTTTAGTTTATGTGCTTGTGAACCACTGTTCGTTTAAAACTTTAGAATATATGACTTCTATTGGCCCAGAATATATTTATGAAAAGAGATATTCAATTTTGTAAACAATCGATTAAAAGAATGAACCGGTAAAGATTTGCTTTAACCCAGGGTTAAGCTAACTTGCTTTTGAACAACCGGCCCCAGGAACTCGTGCAGGGCGAAAGGTACATTGGGGAAGAAAGCAAATATGCTCTGTTGCGACTGATTGATCTCGCAATATGCCAAGCAATGAACGATCAAAACTCTAAGAAGCTTTATTTTTTCAATCAATTTGCTCACAAGTTGTTCGGCATTAATTTAGCTATATTCTTATATTTGTTGTGTAGCATTTATATTTTATTCCTATTTTTTTTTATTAAATATGTATTCATTTGCCATACCCACTGTCTCATGGATATATATATAACAATTCCGCATATTAGATTCACGTCGCCTACTGATCTCGAGGATGAAAGATTTCAAAATGAAATATTGAACTAGAAAGCAAGGCAGCTGCATGATAAATCTCAAAACAACTGCTCATTAAGAGACGAAAAAGCAGTACAAATTTTATAACCGGCCGACACAGACAACAGAATAAAAAACGTGAATACTTACCTTTCTGCCAAAGTAAAATATCGTAAGTACAGAGAGCGAGCAACCTCCCGAGAAGGGTGTTGGTGAAAGAAGTATAAGGTAGAAAAGTACTCCTTAGTACAACGTTTTGTAAACCCCAGAAATGAGCCTTAAACAAGATAACGTTGATATTTCGATTTTCTGTAAATATCCGAGCACAATTCATGCGCTTCGCCATTGCTTCGGAATTATTATTTGGAAATTATTGTTCACGAAGTTATATTTCCTTGCAGTCAATAGCAATGTTTCATGCTCTCATTTCATTCACTCATGTCTTGTCACAGATTAATATTAAAAAACTTAATATGAGAATATTGAAATCAAACATAAAAACCTTGATTAACTTTGCCTAAAATGTAAAGACATTGACTCTTAAAATAAACAATTTGATTCTTAAAACAACAGTGTATTATAAATATTGAAATAGCATACATGGGTAAATATTAAAATGGTGTCTTTGAGAGACAATCAAATACGACTAAAAGATAAAAAGTTAACTAAGATTGATGTTCATGCTTTTACTAATTATTAATAATCAATGATACTTTGGTCCTTCATAAAGGCTAGATTTTATGCTAAAATGTTTACTATGTGAAGTGATATTTATAGTGAATACGTTTATTAAATTACTATTAG